ATGACGAGTATAGGGAGAAACAGGAGGGCACCAGCTTGCTCGAACGACCAAAACACTTGAGAGTGGGACGAGTAGTCGGCTGAGGGAGAGACGTCGCGATTCTCTCCCCGGCACGAAAACTGGAAAAAAGCATCCTGACTTTGGAGAAACGCGACGCGGCAGGTCCTCCATGTTCCTCGTTCCCATCCGCGCTTTGCTCTCTATTTTGCTCCCTTCTGTCTCTATTTCTCTCTCATCTCTTTCATTCCTTCTCCCTCTTACTCTCTCACCTCTCATTAGGAGAAACTTTCATCGGAAGTTCTCTCTGCAGGCGCAGTCTGCAACACCGGAGGCAGCAGCGCGAGGCGGAAGCGAGTGCAGTGTAGTATTTATTTCAGCCCCTAATGAGTTTGCAGGGTGCTCTTCGTGCACGCACACTACGCTATACTACACGCTGATCGCCGCCACGCCACGCCACGCCACGCCACGTCGCGACGCACCGCATTCAGCTCGATGGCGCTCGTCGGACGGCTCCATGGCTTCGCCAAGTAGAAAACGGAGCTAAGTTTTCGCCTCCCACGTGGAAAGCATCGGTATATACGCGCCAACTGGCTTTTTGGCATTTTCGCCATGCGCAGTTTCTCTTTTTTTCCGCGAGTCGTTTACACCGCGCGAGAGTTAAAGGGGTAAGCGGCTCTCCCCCGTTTCTGCACAACCCACCCCTTTTACCGGGAGTTCTATACACCTCTCGCCGTCGCCGCCTCCCGTTCCTCTCGTGAATTTCTCCGCGCTCTTTTTGCGCGGTACTTAAACGCAGAAAGAAACGAGGCCGTTAAAATGTTCCGCCATGCACAATTTATCATGGACTGCGAATGGTAAACGCACGCCCGGGCTCGTCTCAAAGTCCAGAGAAAAGAGACGCGGCTTAATAATGTTCCACGTTGCAGAGAGCGTTACCGGAGAGCAGCAGCCCAAGCCTGGGCTGGGCGTGCATCAAGAAAGGACCGCCGTCACTTTTCTCGCGCGGACGAGAACGCCGCAGCGATCAACTCCTTTTCTTCATTCTTTTATAGACCCTACCGGCATCTCGGAAAGACTACCTAGATCCGCGGAAAGGGGAGAATGCGGGCGGAAGTTTCGAAAGCGTCTGGATACGTGCCTTTAAACTCGAAAGGTTTGCGGATAACTCGTAAAACAGATGCGCCGGCATTTCGAAGCGCATAAAGAAAACAATAACAGGTGAAATACGCGAGCTTCGTACGTACGTAAATACGAATGCGTTACGTTTTTCCTACGAACGATACGTGTCGATAGGTCTTTCCGGCATTCACATAATATCTGAAATTGAAAATATTGGAAGGAAAATGTAATATGGGAAGAGAAAAAGAGCGAAAATAAAACTCATAAAGATGTTAATTTCGATATCGACGAACATCGCGTGTTTTGCACTAAACGCATGTATTATGCGTGGTACAATAACATGACGGATATCTTCTATTCTTCAGTCGTTTCTAATTGTCGCGAAATACGATGGCATGTGTCAAACACCGACTGTTGCTTCTCACTTATTCACGTCCAATCGACTTTGAAGGTCCGAAGGTCGCGTCGACGTTTAATCAGCTTACGCTTAAATCCCTTTAAGGACTTAAGTCCTGCTTTCGTCGCATGGAGTTATCACGCAAGCTCAACTACTTGACCAAGGCTAGTAAACGTACTAAAGCGGCAGTAAAGTTCTCGCGGATTAATTGATGCCTGTGTAGCATGCCGGTCGCATCGCTTTTCGTACAAAGTTGAAGCACTCCAACACTTCACCGGTGCCTCGTGGGTGACTGACCGATAAAGTCTCTTCAATTGATAATGTTTAGATAACTATTATATATATGCAAATAAAAACAACTATACTAGGGTGTCTGCTTATAGAATAAAAAATGATCTTGAATTGTCTTGAAATAATCGAGTACTGATGAATACTTAATGGACAAAGCTTTTGATCGTTAAATAAGGAGAATATATCCAGATATACGTACGATATTCTTACATATTTATTTGAAAAATTGTAATAATATAATATTTATCGATTAATAACAAAATGTTGTTTACAAAAATAGCTTCATTTTTATTAATTAAAATTATTTATGGTTAAAATACAACACAGTTTGGTAACCACATTCAAGTCGGTTACTTTCGATCGCGTTGCTCGCGCGTACGTGAGTGAGTGTTTGTTTTAATTAATAAATAATTGAAACAAAACAAGGTACCCCGCGATTAACGCATATGAAACTACGACTGTTTCCCCTGTTATCGATGTGATCAACAAATCGTTTGTATCTTCGATACTTTTGAAAATAACTATATCTAGATGTATGTGTATGTGTGTGCGTGTACGATCAAACATACAATAATTTAGAAATGGAAATATTCTCGAAAGTGAGTTACATTTTACAAATATATATGTATATATATTCAGTCAATGGTCAATTATTAACTAACAATTTACATGCATAGATTAACGAGAAGAGAGAGTTACAGATTCTGATCTTTTATTTTTATTACGTTATTACGTCGGGTTACGATTATTTATACGACGTTTATCTCAAAAATTTGTTTTTACCTCTATTTAATCTAAAATCCTTCCAGCGTCGTAAAGTGACAATGAAGCAAATCTTTTTTAGTGAGTTCCCGCATTTAGCGGCACAAACCTACGTGATTTTCCGCGGCGTTCGTCGAGCTTGTCGAGCTTGTCGAGCTTGTCGAGCTTTGCGAGGAAAGCTGAGGCGAGTTTGACCCGATCCCTTCGTTGCCGTGTTTACTTTGGAGTGTTCGTTATCGCTCACTAATTGAGCTCTTGACGCGGCAACATTTACGCGATGTGCACGTCTGTGCAGCCACGTAGAGCACAGCTCGTGCGTTGCACAGGTTGCTCTTTCCGCTCTCCCCCTAACTTGCTCTCCTCTCTCCCTCTTCTCTCTTTCTCATCATTGCCGTCCGTTTCCTGTATTCCTGTATTCCCGTTTGGCTGCGTTCACTGCCAATGCCACCAGAAAATCGGCGGTAGCAACACCGACTGCGCTAAAGACAGCCAGTGCGGTACCGACATCGCTCATTTACTTTGGCTCGCTTCGAGTCAGATTTAATTACTGGATTCGTCGCGGGGGGCGCGGGAGAGCGGGACAGACGCGGAATGGCTGGGATGGATGGTTTGCATTATGGTTCCGTTGCATTATGGAAACGTAAACGACGAAATTTATTTCGCTCGCGATACTCGGCTGTCTCGGTGCGCACGGATCGAAATGACTCTCTGTACGTGTAACGAAAGATTTATTCGGTTGCTTGCTTTAAATTTGTTTTTTGCTTAGGAAGAAGACGTAGTTTCAGCGAACGTAGTTTCAGAATGATAGTCGTTATAATTATAATTTGATGCAAAAAGATCTCTGCACGGAGAGAATCTTCTTTTAAAATTTACCCTGAAAATATGATAGTTGTGGTGCAATATGATATTTTAAAGATTTTTGCACCATGCACTTCAGTAAAATTGATCAAACTTATTTTATACTTTATTGTAGCTTTATTAATGAATGACAGAGATTTATATTAAATTCTTCTTTACATTAAAATACAATGTTAAATCTTACGACTGTCATATTTTTCAGGGTAAATTCTAAGAAAAAATTCTCTCCGTATACAATATGAAGAATTATGATAATTTTATTTGTAATGTTGTGTAAAGGAACAATAGATATCAGCACATTGACTTTAGTAGAATTAGGTACATAATTATTTTTGAGGTTTGTTGTATCATATTTTGTAGCAATATATTATATTTCATTTCAGATATATAGTTTATGAAAAAGACTTATTGTAATGTATCGTGTCTATTGTACAATAGAATGAAAAATACAGTCAAAATATGTATATATATATATATATATATTTTTTTTTTATTACACATTATTAATTACTAAGATCCTAAATAAAAAAGCTTTTTTCAAAAACTATATATTTTCATATACTCACATATATATATATATATATGTGTGTGTGTGTGGGGGGGAGTATATGAAAATATATAGTTTTGAAAAAAGTTTTTTTATTTAGGATCTCAGTAATTAATGATGTGTAACAAAATGAACAAACGAAGCAAGTAATGAAATTCAGGTGTCTTAATTGCGAGCACAATAACTATTCTTGTCCACATTTTTTTTCAACTACTGGCCATTTACTACATTTACTTTCACATAAAGTTACCAACGATGCAGCTATTGTCGATTTTCCGGATGTATTTGCTTTTAGCCTTTATTTTCGCTATACGAACTGAAAACGTTTCGGAGTAGGCAGTGTTGCGTCGTAGACGACGAGAAACAAAGCCGCGCGAGACATAATACGAGAGAAAGAGTTAGGTACCGAGACTTTTCTTCGTAGCAAGTCCACGTATTTTCGAACAGAGAGTCGGGCGTAGTGACCGGAAGTTCGTCGCAACGGGTTCCTCGAGGGGCCATTCCGATGATGGATCGCGACTCTTGTGAAAGTTCAGTCTCGAGCTGCGCGCGGAAGAGAGACTCCAAGGAAGAAGTACTCTTTAAGGTATTACACGGCGTCGATTCACCACGATTTTGGGAACTTTGAGTCACCGGCAGAGACAGTCTTTGTTCTAACGCACTGAGATCTCTGTACAGTATATCTTGAAATAGAAAACGAGAAAGTACTCTTTCTGTCGTGCTATTATCTTTATTGTATAGTATCATATAATTACACTGGTGATTTCATTTTTGCTGTAACTATATTCCTGGCTGCAGCTATATATATTTTTTCTTTTTTTGCCTTTATCCGTTTTGCGGCATGTAGACTTATCAATAACATTCCTATGAATATTATCGCGACAATAATAATTGCATATATATGCATATTTATTTTAATTCAATTATGGTCACAAATTTCAAACACTTTTTTCTCAGTGTAGAATATAAAGGATGGTATTAAGAATTAATATTAAAAAATGTTTTCACCAATACTTAATTGAGTTATGTGCAAGTGTTCTATGAGTTATTAATATTGAACAAAATGCAAATCTCAATCTTGATATATCGTTTACAATATCAGAGCTTGAGTGTGCCTTCTCGTTATCGTCGCGATAGATGTGAGAGGAGAATGACTGTATTTCCGCGGATGAGTCGCCGGAGGAGGTGCCGGTCGGCGCGATAGGTCGGTATACGCTTCGTATCAGAAAATGATGATGCAGCTACGCCGTGTGATGAAAAATGGCGGGTTCGAGTGAAGTCACTGGAATGAAATGCATGGATTGGTTTAGCCTGGGGCGCCTGCCACGGAACTGGCATAGACAGCAAGTGATGGATTACCGAGCACGGCCGTTCTGCGAGTTCCCTCGACGTGTTCGCGCTCTGAAGACTCTCCCCGTCTCCCTCGCCCTTATGCTTCGTACGTCAATCCGATGTATTCTACCAACACGTTTTCTCTCTCTCTCTCTCTCTCTCTTTCTCTCTCTCTCTCCCTCCTTTCATAGGCGTCAGGATTTTTCTCGCTTACGCGTTAAGGTTAGATACGCACGAATACCTGTATACTGTATATTTGGAAATTTCATCACGATATTTATCGCCACGGAAAAATACTAATGATAAATATATATATATATATATAAACATAAATAATATTATAAACAATAAATATATTAAATTTTAGTTAGAGTATTTTTGACATTATCCATTTTTTATGATATCATCGATATGAGTTATAATTATTGGATTGATTAATTACCTTGTTAGTACTCTTTATGCAATAATAAGCTGATGTTGTTATGTATAAATGTTTTATGAAGAATCTTCTTGCTGCATGAGTATTGCAGAATGTCTTTAGAACAACGTATTTAGAATAACTGATGGAATAACTCATGATGAAGTATACTTCCACTACCATGAACTAACAATTCACCAATTTCCGGTTAAGTTAGCCAATCGATGATTAACTAACGCAGTAGTACCAACCGTGATCTAATAAGACAGGGCATTTTGTACACTCATGGACTAAAAGGTTGCAACATTTTTTTTAAAGGTTTCGAAATACAGCCTATTCACCGATCGATTGGTTTCTTATTTACGGATCCATAAGATCGTAATTCGAAACCTTTAAAAAAAAGTGTTGCAACCTTTTATAATCTATAAGTGTACACATCTACTGAGAGTTATCGATATCATCAGCCAATGAAAACTGCGTTTTTTTTCCTTGTTATTGGCTATTGTTTGTTATCGACACCGACAATACAATTGATTGTCTCTACAAAATTTTCATAATTTGAGAAGTGAACACCATTCTACATTAATACTCATAGTTCATGCACAATTAACGATATAACCAGAGCTTCTTACAATTCATCATATTCTGCATGTTGTTGCAAAAAAATTGCTTTTATTGTATTTATTTATTTAAAACTTTCGAAAATTCAAATTATTTCTTTATGTCAAATGTGATAGGCGAAATTTTAGTCGTAGTTAATCGTGCATGAAGTATAAGCATTAATGTAGAAAGATGGTTCATTTACTTCTCATTTTGTGAAAATTTTCGAGAGACAGAACCATGGGTGTATAGAATACAGACTCAGGTATAATATTTCTGTGCATGCGTAGTAGAATGTGGTCCCATGAGTGAATTTGGACCCAAATTTGATTGGCTATTCCAGTATGTTATTGTTATTACGCAATGTCACACTTATGTTCTTATTTCCAACCAATCAACGATAGTTTAATGCGTATTATCTTCTCATATCTCTTCCTCTTTTAATATCTATTTCTACCGTATCTATTTTACCAATGTAGATTAATTTTTAATCTCGATTCAATTTACTCTTTATCTTTTTTTTTATTTTTAAAACTGAAAAAAGATTAAAAGTAAGTTAAACTGAAATTAATCTGTATTGATAGAAATGAACAACTGTTGGCACTATTGTGAAGTTTAACCGTCGGTTAGCTTAATCGGAGATTGATGAAAGAGGCTGTAAAATCTGTCACACTACGCATTAGAAACTGAGGATTGTGAATTAGATAAGAGATAAGAGTTCGATCAATCAGATAGCTAATTTTAATTTTAATCCGTTTTGTTCTGATTGGTTGAATTTTACAGGATTGCCACATAATTAGGAATAAGAGAAATCGGGGAATTGTCAAGGAAAAAGTTAGAAAATTTTGCAAAATTTTCACTTTTTTTGCAAAATAAAATATTTAACGGTTTCCAAATCAGGACGAAAATACAAAAAAGTTTTTAATATTATTGAAAGTAAGAGAAAATTATGAAATTTTGTTTGGAAATCAAGGAAAAATTATGAAATTTTTAGATGAGGAATTTGTGACTACCACTCTATTCTAATCTTCAATTCACAATCCTGAATCTCTAATATATAGTGTGGGCTTAATGCGTGACGCCACCATTGACAGCATCACTAGTGAAGTTCAAATACGTTGATTGCACCAAATTTGAATGAACGTAACTTGTGAATACGATATCAACTTACAATAGAAATGTAATAAGACGCTCAATATAAGATACGATTTAATATTCCGCTCGATTTGCTCTATAGATTATTTTGATAATTATAATAATTTGAGATGTCTTGTATTGTCTTTATTTGTAATTAATCGAAATACAAAAATTTTGTATTTGATCCAAAACGACGAAAATCCATTTATAGTTTTCTCCCTCTTTTTTGTTTTCCTCTTTCTTTCTGTCTCGGCATGATTATATCACGTTTCTTTATAAACCCTCTACCAAAAATTCCTTCGTCCTTTAAAAGCATTCTCGCATATCTTATGCACGTACACACGCGTAAAGCAGATCGATTACGTCGCCCTTCCTTATTTAGCGCCCTCGTGAAGCGATTCACGAGTCGCTCGTAAATTTGGCAAAATGCTCTACTTGCAGATGTTCATTTTGACGCGTTCCACTAAACGTGATGTCGCGTCGACATTCTATCCCTCTCTTTAGACACAATGAAATTCACGTGCTGCCAAAGTATAGAGTCGACCCTTCCTGCTCCAAGAAGAAATTTCGGGGATTCGTCGTGGCTCTTTTGCCTCGACATTTCCCTCTCTCGAATTTGACATTCGCCTTTTCATCATGGCTGCTCTCGATTCGCCAATTCGTTTTGATCGTTCTTCCATTAAAACAGTTTCCTACTCGTATTCTGATATGCATTATATTCTTCCTTTGAAGTATGCCTACGTTCTCAAACCTTCAAATGTATCATTGAACGGTTACCATATAAAAATAAATTTCGAATAAATTTCGCGAACGTTTGTATTAGTAGAACTTATTTTAGAATTTACATATTTATTATTATTATAGTAGATAGATAAATTTTGCTGTTTATTTATTATTTTAACACTTAAATGAATTAATTTTATATATTAAATATTCATTTATATATGATATAAACATTTATATATGTAACTTTATTTCGATTTGAAATAAATACAAAGTCTGTTGATGTACATTTAAATATTTAGAAAGCCATTGAATTAGAAAACGTATTTCACCGGTATACAGTCTGGTCGTAATTTCTCTCTTGGAGAAAACTTTGTTCATTTCGTAGTGACCGCCTAGCTGTTCGCGAATACGCTTTACTCAACGACGTGCAAGACGTATGGTCATTTGTGGCGCTGGTCGAATTGCGTCCCCTTTCGTATCACGAAAGTTGGAGCAAATTTCTCGTGCAAACTACAAAGACTCGGTCAATGTTTCGTGCCGTGTCAGTCAGACCTTTCAAGATTGACGTTTATTTTCTCGTTGACGCCGTTTCCGATCGTTTTGATCGGTCATCCTTGAAAAATTGTCACTCTTTCGCACACACATACACGCGTACATATACAGTAGCTATTTCAATCGGTTCTCTCTCGGTCGCGGTATCCCTCAGCGGAAGACCACTTTGACGTTATCTTGCTCGAGCGAGCTAGGGTTATCTTGTGAAAGCAGCTTTGAAGGCTCGCGCGTAAATAGGCACCTCGAATAAATGATGATGCTGGAATAGGACAGAGGAAGATTAGACGGGAAGGAGGAGCCGCATTACGAAGATATCGCTTCTTCTTCCTTTGTATAGTAAAGTAGCGTCGTGGCATCTAGGGGAAAATCCTCGTATGGTCGACCAAAAAATGGAAAAGGATAGCTTATCAGCCATCCAACGCAAAACAGCGCGTTTCATACAAGAGAAAGTAATGGTGACGAGAATGATTAATTTGAATAACTTGAATGATAAATGTGATACTGTGATTGAAATTCAATCTCTCTTTTCTGTTTCGTGTTGTTATTATTATATCGGTATCAAATAGAAAATTCACGAGATTGGTGCTTAGGTGTAATTATCTGGATAAAATTAAATGAAAGCTGAATTAACAGTAAGCTGGAGCTCTCGTTGCATCGACGAGAGAGATTGCGGCACCGGGGAATTCTATTAATTATTAATTGACAAGTTTGTGTTCCATCATAGAAAAGAGGGTGAAGGTAGATGAAAACTTTCGTTATTGGCTGTAATTGCGATTTATAAATTGTCGATGATGAGGGTTTTCTCCCTTTCAGTTTTCACGATTTGTCTTCTTCCGCCTGTTTCGTTCTTCGTGAGCGATTCACTCCGCTGATTCGTTCCGTTACTCTTGAATGCTTTCCTGATCGGAAAGTCGACCGTGTCATCCGATCACAAGGAAGCGCGTAGAATTTCCTTAAAAAATGTCAAGGGCATGCGCAATACTTGTCGGAGAAGTGCAACGTGATCTGGCTTTAACCTTGTTCGCGTGATAGGTGGGGTAAATCTCGCGGAAAGATCGCATATCCACGTTTACAAGTATAAGTGCAGGCAGGCATCTATTATTATGCGTCGCGATTGAGTTGAAAAGTTTACTTGGACGAGAACGAGTTACGAGAACAGCAGCATGAACACGTGATGATGTCACACGGAATGATGTCGATATCAGATATCATGATTCGATACGACGTTAGCATAAATTAACAGTATAACTGTATGTACGCAGCAAGAAATATAATACGTAAGCAGTAAATACTATACTTGAAAAAATTCGACGTTCATATTGTAATATCGTATCTTAGACATTACTGATTTTACGAAAGCAGATAAATTTAATTTTTATGCGGAAATAATGAAATTTTAACACGATGACTACTACATATAATAATAACGGTATAAAGAATCGATATCGATATTCTATAACAGATTCTATATCGTTTACACGTAACACTCCGTAACAGCGCTTAAAAATATTATGGCTCGATAAAGATCGCTTCGAGCATAATTTCGCAGTTATGCTCTTCGATAAACTTCCGTCGACTTATCACCTCGTAAATATTACTCCAGTGAGTTTCGACCGAATTCAGTTGGCAGTCGACGTGTTAAGTGTACAGGTTTTACTCGTCAGAGTCGCTTTAATTCTGCCGCGTAAATTTGCAGAAATTCATCCGAAATTATCTCCACTTGCGGCACTCGATGAACCGCAAAGTGCTGCGGACGCATAACTTTCGAAAGTGAAGTTTCGCGAATTTCCTGCCGCCATTGGCGCAGCTCTTGTAACCACCGGAAAACGAGGTGGTTGCAGAAGGTGAGGCAGGGAAGGTGAGGGAAGGGTAAGCTCGCGTACGGAGTTTCCGGAGTGATACATCAAAGTAGATAAGTAGTCTAGCACGAGCGCACACGCGCAATGCACCAGGTGGGTTAACGTGAGTGCGAGATAACGCAGAATACACACAACTGTAGCGCTGTAAACGCGTGTGTAAAGTACACGCGGATAATGTAGGTTGTTGCGAGTTGTTGCGTCCTCGAACTAGTACACGAGTCGGACGCGTTACGTATGCTCTGATGTACTTTCAAACGGTTATTAAAA